TCTTCATTCCTGCTGCCAAATTAAGTGTCAAACAGACAAGGCAGGCGGGTGGATGGCCCACATGTCTCCTATAGAGGTCTGCAGTGTGGTACAGAACATTTCAGCCAGCGCTCTGTTATCCCCCCACCCCCCGTTTATTAGCGGCTGATTGGGTTGTTATTGTAATTATGAGATGCTGTACGTGTAGTGAGGGGCACTGGGCTGTTCCCTGGTGGGTGGTCCTCTGTGTCGGTGTGGGCTGTAGAGGGATCACGGTCATTGTCCCACCTGCATTCGTTTTATTGGGTTTTATTTGTTGTGTTCTTTAACACCAGAAGCGTCCAAATGTTAAATGAAAATGTGGATTTATTGAACCTGTTGAATCCTTTTATTTATACTTTAAATAGAAATAAATATTTAAATATTTTAAAACCTTTGTGATGTTTTTATGTGTTGTAGATGAACTTGGGTAGGGCTCTCGTGCGCGCGCGCGTGTGTGTGCGTGTTAGGGCTGCGTCGACTATCAAAATCATCGACGACTGATTTAATAGTCGACGCATCGTTTGAAGCTTTGTAAGATCACAAAAGACGCAGGAATAAGCAGCAGGATTTAAGAGTGTAATAACGGACTGAAACAGAAGATGGCAGCACTGCATGTACAAGGATGCCAGCTGCCGTTAAACCCCGAAGAAGAAGAAGCTGTGTCCCAGAATTCATAGCGCAGCCCAGCTCAGTTTCCAACAATGGCGGCAGCTAGTTAGTTTTAATATTACTTATTATTCTTTCTGGGTCACAAAATAAACGTTTAACATATTTTCAGGGAGAATGTAGCTGTGTAAACCTCAAATATCTGCTCAGTTTATCAAGACACCACATATTTTCAAAAGCGCTCCGACGTTTTCGGAGACGTGTTACCCACTAGCTCGATAGCTAGCCGGGGGCTAGGCTAACTAGAGCCGTGAGAACACCGGACTCCCAGCAAATCGTTTTCAAACCCACCGCCATCTTTCACTACTCAGGTTAAACATGATATATGAGTCACTTAGATAACTTAACAATGTTATTGTTTGGCTTTTTTTAGTATTTTATTTGTTCCTGAGTAAATCGGTTTGGCTGAGATTAAAGTTATAGTTTTTACACAGCTGAATAAACTTCAAGCAGACAGCTGATTATCAGAAGTGTGAGATGCTGGAGAATTTACTCCGGTGTCCTGTTATATTTTAGATAGCAAGGAGTTTATTAAACTCCACCGAAACAATCTGCAAATTTCATTAAAATTTAATAAACTATCATCTTGTCTTTATTTTTAGTTAGCACCGTAAACACTTAAAGCTGTAAGCTAATGATAGTTATATAAGAGCAGATGCTGCTGGTGCAATAAGCTGTACGCTGTATGTCCAATGGATGCATGATCTGATTAGTCGACTAATCGCAAAAATAGTCGACTATCAAAATAATGGTTTGTGGCAGCCCTAGTGTGTGCATGTGCGTGTGCACATAGTGGCTCTTCATTCATGCATGTGATCACCAACCGACCTGTGGGTCCCTTACGTCACTCTGCGTTCCTGTCTGGGCTGGGCTCAGGTTACACTTTCAGCCCCCCCCCGTTCCCTCCCACCGTTTTTCTGCCCCCCCTTTTCACCCCTTGTTTTTTTTCCATGCGACCCTCTTTTCTTCTAGCCACGCCCCTCCTCTCCCTGCTGGCTCACTCCTGGATCTCCTTGCTACCAAACCTGGGAGGAGAAGACTGCAGACACAGGGGCTCTAACAACCAGCCCCAGACTGCTGTTCCTCTCTCTTGTCCCCCCCCCCCCCCCCCCCAGCATTCACTCCTGTCAGTTGAAAGCAAGACTCCATTTTGCAGTAGAGGCTCTGTGCACGTCCATGTGCTGCTTGCCCTCGTGGCCCTCTAACATTTCTTTGTGTCAGTGAAGCTTGCCGTCATCATGCCGGGCGACCAGAAAGGCCTCACTGCCTCTCACGTATTTCTTACCTGTGCTGTTTATAAAGAGAGCCCTCCATGTGTAAGGGGCTCGAGTCCTCTTGGTGTGACTTGAAGATAACTTTGGGCAGCGGTGAGTTGCACCCTGGCCCCTGTGCAGTTGTGTAACAGTTTGTTATGTTGTTGTGTTTCACAATAGGTATCCGGTTAGTGCTGCAGGCTGACAGCGAGCGGGTGACCTGTGTTCGATGTGTCCGTGAGATAAGGCAGGAGGGGCAGAGAGAGGTGTAAGGTTGCTGTTATCACTGCGACTTACAGCAACCGCCGCACGGCCGAGGAAGTAGCCTGTCTTGGTGTTTTGCGATGCAGGTTGCGCCGAGGCGTGGTCAAGGCACACCGGTTCGCTGATTGAGTTACTGTTGTTGTTTCAAACTCGAGTGTTATCTGATGAGTTGCTTAACAGTTAAATTGGATTTATTGACTACTTTTATGAGTTGTTTTTGGCTGCCGGCTGCCGGCTCGCCGCAGGGGGAAGTACAAAGTTGAGCTGGTGGAGGCTGCGTCCACACAAATGTGGGTACATGCAGCTGCACAGTTTGTGTTGTTCTCTGAGCTTGTTGTGTGTCTTCTCACTGGAAGCAATCTCAGCACTGAGCTAAAGACAGTGAAGGATGTGATTCATAGGTGAAGCACAAATGTGCGTACTGGCCAGTGGATACGTGGAGATGAATTATTTAATGTTACAGATTCTATTTTGCTTTTACTTGTTTCTTTTAAAGCTCGACACGTGTTCTTTCTCTGCTGCTGCACTGACGTTTGTCTTACTCGAGTCTCGCCTGGAAGAAAGGATATTTTCTGCACTTCTCTGAAGGAGTTACTGCAAACAAGCGTAACGCCACTGCAGATATGGCATCAGATATTTTTACTCTTCAGTCTTTATGTTTTCTGAGGAAGGGAAGTGTGTTCCTGTGATTACAAGTACAAGTTTAACTCGACCTGCAGCGTGAATCTGTAGTAAACGTGGTTCAGTAGTTTACTGGTTTTATAGGCGGCTCTGTGTTATAAGCAGCCACTTTGTTGATGTGTGATTCTGGTCGTAGGTTGAACCTGAATTGTTGACATGTTTTTCATGCTAACCATTAACCAAATGGTGAGTTAATGGTTAGCTCTCACCTGGGGAAATGGCGTGCTCAGGTGAGAAGTCGGTTTCCAATCAATGTACTGCAATAAATCTTCCCTATTTTGGGATTCAGGGTTCAGTGTTATTGACGTCTTTTTTTTAAATGGTGTGTGCATGTGCGTGCGTTGCGAGGAGGGTTCATGCATTTAGCTGCACGCAGCTCTGAGCCTGACGAGCGACTGAGAGCAGCGTGGTGCGCACAAGCTCGAGCCTGGCTGTGGGACTCACGTTCTCCTAAAGGAAAAGTCTAACCGAAACATTAACAGAGTGAATAATTAGCATGAATTATTACGAGCTTCCTTCATTCTGAGTACAGGGAAGAGTTTTTTGTGCTTTCTTTTTTTCTGTCACTAAAGTGTTTAAAGGATTTTTCATCGTCTGTCAGACGGCTGCCTTTGAATCAGCCGGTGCTGTTTATGTCCACCACCATCTGTTTTTAGGCCGTGATGGCTGCTGTTATGGCTGATACAGTCCATGCATAGTTAAATCGAGGGAGCAAATTAGGATTTTATGTCTCACAACTACAGAGTTTAATGGGCGTGCTCGTGAAATGTAAATGGGTGTGGCAACAGGGCAGAATCTGCGGTCAGCCGCCGTCCTCTGTGTCACCGTGTGACCCAGTAAATCACATCTCTTCCACTTTATACAGCAAGTCTGTTCATGTGAACTAAACACCTGCTCTGGTGGAGAAACAGCCACGCTCTGTGCTTATTCCTGGCATTTGTGCTGCAGGCAGTTCAAAGAAACAGGACGTTTAAGGAGAACTGGCTGTGTTTATGAGGCTGGGGTGTAAATATGATGCTATATGGATGGCAAAGCTTTCTTTCCAGTAAATGTGTGCGAGCTGGTTTCTGTCGTGTGACAGCTGTTGGTTTGGATCCGCAGGTTTGCAAATGGCAGTGTTGTTGTTTTTGTGGCCGCTTTGCCGACCTGGAGTTCGAAACCTGCTTTGTCACGTCAACAACAGAAATACTGTTTTCATCGTTACACCTGTCTTGCACAATCAGAACGACGAAGTGTTTCTTCCTCCTGTAATTTGCCTTTAATGTGTTATTATGTGGAGCGAGAAACTCTCTGCACATCTCTCCCAAAGTTACTGTGTGCTGATGAATTCTCCACTCCTCTGATGCGTGCGCGGATGCGTTTGTCTAAACGTAAGCTTGTGTCTGCACCAGCTGAAGAGTGGATCGTTTCTGTTAACCTCGTGGCTGCTGCGCTCGAGCAAACGCTGCTGTACAATAATACTGCTATAGCCGATGAGACTGTGTGTGTGTGTGTGTGTGTGTGTGTGTGTGTCAGAGAGAGAAAGGCAATTGCGGAGAGTCTGGTTTTTGGACTTGAGCGGCCGCTTCGTGAATGTCTTTCTTCACCTTGATGCAGGTCGGCGCTGGTTTTGTGGCTGAAACTGGGAGAAAGAAGTTTGTACTGATGTTCACATCCAGTTGTTGTAATGCAGCTGCAAACTGAGGCCCTTTTGTCTGTTCAGCCTGCCACAGTCGGGCTAATTGATGTGAATTAAAGCCAAAGCAACATTTTCCAAATGAACAGCTCTCTGAAGGATGCAGATGTCCTGCGGACAGGTTTTCATCGTCGCCGTGACAACGGGGATGAATGTTATAGGCAAATATTGTGCTGCATTCACCTGACCTGTGCAGCACCTTCGCTTCAGTCACAAACACAGCATTTCCGGTATAAAGTCACAAATGAGCCGCTGCGTGCTGCAATGTGTGAGAAACGACATCCATGGAAAATTTTCAGTCATCTGTGAAAACTGATTGTTCTGTATCAGAAGTACATTTGAACATTTCTGATTAAAAGAAGATTAATCAAGAAGTAATGAGCTTATATTAATTGAAACGTGCTTGTTTCTTATGCGCTTCCCTCTGTCTGTCCTTTCAGTCTGCTCGAGCAAGGACATCCGGAATAACGTGACCAACCTCCAGTCGTTGGAGAACTGCACCATCATCGAGGGCCACCTAAAAATCCTGCTCATGTTTAAGACCAGGACGGAGGACTTCCGCGGCCTGAGCTACCCGAAACTGCGAGTGGTGACGGACTACGTGCTGCTGTTCAGGGTCTACGGCCTCGAGACGCTCAGCGATCTGTTCCCCAACCTGACGGTGATCCGCGGCAACAACCTCTTCTTCAACTACGCTTTCGTGCTTTACGAGATGCTGCAGATGAAGGAGATGGGCCTGTACAGCCTCATGAACATCACCCGGGGCGCCGTGAGGATCGAGAAGAATCCGGACCTGTGTTACCTGGCCACTCTGGACTGGTCCAAGATCCTGGACTCGGTGGAGGACAACTTCATCGTGGCCAATAAGAATGAGAGAGAGTGTGGAGACGTGTGTCCAGGCATAGCCCAAGGTCAGACCATCTGCCCTCAGAGCACCATCAACGGACACTTCAGGGGACGATGCTGGTCACAGACTCACTGCCAGAGAAGTAAGTGTTTGTGATCAGTCTTTAAACGTGCGCACACGATGATTCCTGCGTTCTTAGTGTGAGCAGCCAGGGGTCGTGGCCACGCCCTCTGATCAGCATTCGATGTGTGCAAGTGATCCGTAATTACAGGATCGGGATCTGCTCCGTGTGCGGAGGGACTCGAGTGAGATGCTGAGTCAGAAAACAGGAAACTCTAAAGCAGGCATTATGGGATGTAATGCCCTTTTAGAGCTGAGGTGAACGTTTGTTATAAAATTGTTTTGTTTTAATGTTTAGTAAAAAAGTAACAAAACCAAAAAAACATCTGTGGGTTTGCTCAGCGCTGCAGCCGCTCGCTCGTTCCTGCCATAAACACAGAGATCGTCCTCTATTGTAAGACTCGCTGAGAGGATGCTTATTATTTTGAAGGCGATTATAGCCTGTGTTGGTTTTTATTTTTTTAAACATTTTTCTTTTCTGTCTTGTGTCTGACGGACAGGCTAGCCTTCAAAGCGTGCCAGCCTCGGCCGTGTTTATACTCCAACATCGACCGCTGCAGCTGGCCTGTAGTCCCGCCTCCTCGATTGTCTGCCAGGTCTTACTGTCAGGAAAATAAGACAGGAAGTGCCTTTCTCCACGTCTCAGTCTTCCTCTCAAACATGATAGTTTGACTTGAGCAGATCGTTCACGACGCTGGATGTTTAAAAGGAATGGGACGTGGCTGCTATCAGTTTTATTTAAACTCACAGTGCAGCTTTTTACTGTGGCAAAGGTTTGAGATGATGATGTTGGCCTGTGCGCAAGTAATCCCAGAGCTGCCCTAACGGTGCTTTCCTGAATAAGCTGGAAGTCATAAATTCCGAGTTTCCAGTCAGAAATTTTGTGGAACGCCACTCTCAGCAGACCAGCGTCGTTCCAATCCAAGATGGCGGCGCTGAATCTAAACGAAATGAAAACTGTAAACTCTCTGACTCATTAAAGATGTCACGTGCACAGCAGCGAGCAGGTTTGGTCCATGAATGTGTTTTGTTGTTAGTGATGCCCGAATGGCTCCACCTCGCCAAGCGCCAAAAGGAATTCTGTTTCCTGGATTTTTTTGGGAGACGCTAACGTGACATCACTCCCGAACTCTGACATCCGAGTTTGGAGGTACATAAGTGCTGACACACAGATTTTTAAACAGCCTACCTGCTGTTCAAAAAGACGAAGGGCTGTCTCTAAAGGAGGAGGAGGAGGTACTCAAAATGTTGACCTGAGGGTCCAGGATGAAATAAATAAGGACTTTGTTTTTTTTTATGCACTGTGAGTCATGTGATCAGTCCAGTAGAATCCATATTTACTGCACAGCTGATTAGGTTTACCCTGTATACTCTAAATAAAAGTCAAACAGCTGTGTCCATTAAAAACAGCACAGACAAAAAGCCCACTGACACGGACGTGAGCACATCTGTTGCGTCAGGGCGCAGGTCTGACGCTGCGCTCTGCCTAATGTGACCGACACCAGTTTAGTGAAGAGCTGGGTGTCAAAGCCGGAGCCATTTCTAGAATATGATGCAGTGCTGCCTGCAGCAGCGTGTGTGTCACACACAGGGCTGATACCTGAACGCTGATGTATGGCTGATATGCTGCTCTGCTCTAAACGAGAGCTACATCGCCACAGGCGTGTTTTCAGCCTACAGGAGCTGCAAACACGTGCTCGTCTGTTCTCTTAAATATTACAAGCCGACGTGCATCTGCAGCCGTAACGATAACAGCAGCGCAGTATCAGCAGTGCGTTTTGTATCCGTTCGATACTGATGCAGATGTGGCTGCAGATCCGCAGCGTGACGGAGAAACTAATGAGGGCTTCTGTGAATGAACGCTGGCAGTTTACGAACTTGGACATGTGCGAGCGTAGACACATGCACGGGTGCGGAGCAGAGGAACATTAGACGGGGCATTAAAGTTTATGTGTGAGTGGAAACTGTGGGGTTGTTTTTGTTGTGTTTTTATAGGGTTGCAGTGGCCTTAGGTAAGAGCCAGAGAGAGCCTGCATTCCTCTGATCTTACACTGCTGTGTGTGTGTGTGTGCCCCTAAATGACCTGTTCAAGCCGCATGTATGACCTCTGAGGTTCGTAGCCCAGTGCTGTTTGTGTGTTTCTGGTGTGCGTGTTTAGTTTGTTTGTTCGTATGTGCAGCTTCAGACGTGCAGCTCTGCTACAGTAGTTTCTCAGTCGGTTGCTTTCTGCACGAACAGTCTGTGTTTCCAGCTGATGCTCTGGAGTCCTGCAGCGATTGGCAGGTTTTCTGCACCTAGTTTCTACCTGCAGCTCCGTGCAGAACCCTGCGCTATAAAACATAAAGTCAGAGTAACCGTGTCTCTGCTGAGGGTTTTTAAGTAAAGACAAAAAAATCTCTGACAGTGCTCAAGTATGGGATTGGCAGGAAGACGAATGCAGCTCACAAACACACCTCCTGAAAGGAAACGGAAAGGGTGTCGGATCAGTGGTGTGTAGGCATGATGATAATCTGTGCACCCACATGTTTCACCCAAGATAAGTAAAGTGACGACGTACACGGACCTGCTTTGATTTGGAACTTTTTCATCTGAGCTTTGTTGATTTATTGAAACGTGCAAACTGTGTGAAAATGCAGTATTTTTTACACCACTTGAACTTTGTTAGACAAGCCTGTCGAATCCTGTTAGTAAAGATTTTTATTTTTAAACCTGCCATTTTTGCTTTCGTGCTCCAGTTTCCTCAGATTTTTTTTAAGGACACTTAAATGCTAAGATGTGCCCTACCTCAGATTCAGAATCGCACACGGTTGTTCTGTAGTTTCATTTTTGTGACAATATAATTTTAAAAAACGGTTCTTTGCTAAGTTTTCTGTTATGCGTGGACATGACACCGTTTCATGCCTCGAGTCGGGCGCCTTTCTGTGGTTAAACGATTCCGTGGAAAATAGTCAGGACTGGACTGAAAATGGGTAGAAAAGCTGAAAATGTCCAAAAGAAAATGTTGAAGGAGCTCCACGAGGCCCGGAGAACTACTCCTCAAGACCACCTTTAAAAAAAGAAATGACACGAAAGGGGCGACTCAAGACTTTTGCACAGAAGTGTAGAATAAATATCACTCGAAAGTGGTTTAAATTCCCCCAGAAAAGTCAGAAGAAAGCTGTTTGACTGAGAGGAGACACAGATATTCACAGGTGTCTGAGCTGAGTAAGGAAAAGGAGGTAAAGCGAGCGGAAACAAAGGAACAGTCAGCGACGAGCGAACGAGGGAACAGGAGCAAACAGTCGATCTCCTGTTTAGATAAGCTCTATCTGCTGCCGAGGCCTGGCACGCTGCGTTCAACCACACCAGCCTGCGCTCTGCTTGCACAACTCGCACACACAAAAACATCCACACAACCAGGAGGATGGAAAGCTTTTTGGGTCAAAGTTCACTCTGCCCACGCTTTGTTGTTTGCTGCCATTGTTTTCAGATACACGCAGCTAGTCACGGCTTCATCTCGTAGCGACAAACAGATTACCCGTGCCCCTTCGAGGCCACCGCAGGTTAAACCCGTAACGGTGTTTCTAAATGGATCCGACTGCGTCATCTGAAATGACCTTGTGGTCCTCCTGACCAGAGTCGAATTCAGGTTGGACATCGCCCAGCAGCGGTGCTTTCAACTTTGTGACACAGGCGTCTAAAAACCAGTAAAAAGCTGTGAGAGAAGCAGCTGCAGCACTGTGCACGCAGGTGTTTTCACTGGTAGTAAAACAGTGTAGAGGGGATTTTAGCGTGTCGCTGTAGGCATGTGTAAGCTGTACGCTTTGTTCTTTGCAAAAGGGGGAAAAAGCCAGTGTGAGGTTTCAGAGTTAACCAAGTTGGTGTCATTTTTCTGTTTGTGTGTGTTTATTGCCAGAGTGGTGTCCTGGCAACAGTGCACCAGGTATTTTTGTACTTAGAGACTTCAGAAGTTACTTTGCACATACAGATGAGAATGAGTACGAATGTTTGCTCATGTGTCACAGTGTTTCTTTTTAAAAAATGAGTGTGTTATATTGGATTCATGTGAAGTGTTTTGTGCACTGAGCATATGAGTGTCTGTGATGCTGTCTCAGCTGCAGCTCGTGGGCCTTTTCCTCTGATATTTCCATCAGTTTTACTTCTCATGCGATCAAATGAAGCCGGAGCGTCGGTCGGGACACGGTCCAGATCGGGGGGGCAAAATAAACAGAGCAAAGCAAACATGGCGGGGCCTTTCAAGTGTGGCTCCCAGGTACACGCACAAACACACACTCGAAAGCCACAAACACACTTTTGCCAAAGAGGTGAGCGGCCCAGTTACAGGCGGCTACAGAGAGACAGAAATGACGGTATTAAGGATGGAGGTGCTCAACCGAGCGCTGCTCGCCGGCCTTTGTGAAAGCGTCTCTGCCTGACTCTCCTCTCTGTCTCTCTCGATCCTTCTCAGCTGTTTTCAGTTGTTTCTAATGAAAGGTAAACGAAGGAGTTTTCCTGCAGCGGCTGTTCGTAATTAGCTATTAAAGTCAGTGACACGGAGACGACGTGGATACGAACACAAAGGGACCGAGTGTCAGTTCTGTTAAAAGCTTTAAGGGAACAAGGTGTGTGTGTTTTTTATCTATGTTTCAATGGTTTGTGTTGACACATGTAGAGTGTCAGTGGTGCATATCATTTCAGGTCATTATGGAGCTGTGCAGCAGAAAGCTGCTGCCCTGCTGGAGTATCAGTTTATAACCTTCCCGTGTGGATTCAATGCAAACTGTTACAACTCTTACGTGCGTTCAGATGCTTCGTTAAATCGGACGCGTCGCCGATCTGCGAAGCGACAACCTTTGCACATTTACTGAGTCACTGCTCTCAACACACAAGCCTCCATCTGGAGGAGGAGGCGAGTTGTTTGTCTTATATGCCTGCTGCGTTCCAGTCACCTGTCGAGCACACACACACACACACACACACACACACACACACACACACACACACGTTTGCTTTCCCTCTGTCAACAACAGTTGGGACGAGTGT